CGAGTACAACCCCTTAGGGTTTCCTATATGTATCTTGCTGCTTTCTAGTGAACACCCTCCTTTGCTTATTCTCTCTTCCCTAGCTAGGGCTTACCTAGCTATGGCTCCTCACTCTACCTACTCTCTCAACACCTTCCTCCCGTCGCCTTTCCTCTCCCGTCTCCCTTTCTCTCTCCCGTCACCCTTCCTTCCCTCCCGTTGCCTTTCTCTCCCATCGCCCTTCCTCTCTCCCGTCGCCTAGCCTCTCTCCCGTCGCCTATCCTCTCTCACGTCGCCCTTTCTCTCTCCCGTCGCCCTTTCTCTCCCGTCGCCCTTCATCTCTCCCGTCGCCCTTTCTCTCTCCCGTCGCCCTTTCTCTCTCCCATCGCCCTTTCTCTCCCGTCGCCCTTCATCTCTCCCGTCGCTCTTCCTCTCTCTCGTCGCTCTTCCTCTCTTCCATCACCCTTCATCTCTCCCGCCCCGTCACCCACCTCGGCGCCTTCGTGCTTGCCCCGAAATGCCTGCCCGTCGCCCGTCCTCTCTCCCTCCCATCACCCACTCGGCGCCTTCGCGCTCGCCCCAAAATGCCTGCTCGTTGCCCTTCCTCTCTCCCCCTTGCACCCAACCCATTAGGTGTGCAATCCAACATGCTCGTAGCATGCACGGGACGGATCTTTAGGGGGTAGTTCCATGAGAGGATCCATGTGTTCATCATCACCCATGGTCGCGAAGCAAAATGCCGCGCCCTCCTTATCCAACTTCCCAACGGCTACCGTAGCATAGTCGGCGTACTTGGAGGGAGGACGAACCTCACGACGCTCGCGGGTCAAGGCCAATGGTAGGGAGGAAGGTGTGGAGGTAGTTGCCGCCTCGGTTGGTGGCACCTCCACGACATCATCAACGCTCTCCGTGTTGATCTCTCCCCCTCCATCTTCGGCTTCCATCTCCACTTGAGGTGGAGTCTCACTCTCTTCAACCTCCTCTTGTGGCGGAAGGATGGAGGTGAGTTGTTGAGTGGGTTTCTCCTTCGACGGGAACTTGTCTTCGTCAAAGACCACGTCCCGAGACGTGACTATGCGCTTTTCACCCAAGTCCCACACTCGCCATGCACGCTCGTTTGGCGCAATTCTCAGGAAGATCGCCGCACGAGCTTTCGGTTGCAACTTGTGGCAAAGATGATCTGGTACATGGTAGTAGCAAAGGCACCCAAAGGTGCGTAGGCGTGATAGGTTCGGCTTCGTTCCGCTCCATGCTTCGAACGGAGTCGTTCCCGGGAGCACCTTCGTCGGCAAACGGTTGCGAATCCACGTCGCTAGCGAACTCGCCTCACCCCACCACTCGCTCCCAAGCTTGGAGTGTTGAAGAAGTGAACGAACGGCTTCCACCAATGTGCGATTAAGCCGCTCCGCCGCTCCATTTTTTTGGGGTGTGTAGGGTGTCGTGACGTCGTGCTTAATGCCCTTGCTTTTCATCGATTTTTCAAGCTCGTTATTCACGAATTCGCCGCCACCGTCGGTGCGAATGCACTTGATCCGCTTCTTGTGGTCGTTGCATACGTCGAGCGCCCACTCTTGAATCGCCTTGGCCGCATATCCTTTCGCCTTCAAGAGCCGGGTCCAACACATCCGCGTTGCGTCGTCGAGCATCACCAAGAGGAACCGTGCTCCTCCCTTTGATGCGCACCGCATCGGTCCACACCATCCATGTGAACAAGCGCAAGCGGGTCTTTAGTGAGGGGTCAGGTACGCCTACCAAATGGCTTCCGAGCCATTTTTCCTTCGACACACGCCGCGCACACGCCCTTCTCGTCGTCGGCGGCGATCACGTCGACTCCCTTCACGAGACCCTTGTTGGCCAACTCCTTGACCGACTCGTATTTGGCGTGCGCAAGCCGATTATGCCACACCTTGAGAGTCGCCTTGGAGCCTTGCGCCACGTTGGATGAAGCCGCTCTCGTTTACGTCTTGAGTTGGTAGATATCTCTGTTGAGAACACCTTGCGCGAATTGCTCCCCCTTCCAAAAAAAGGTTCATCTTCGCACCGTCGATGGTGGCGATCACGTCTTCTTCGCAAGTTGCGGGACGGATAGAAGGTTCACCTTCACCTCCGGGACGTGAAGCACGTTCGTGACGTCCACCGGTCCGCTATCGACGATGAGGTGCGTACTCCCAACTCCAACTCGCTTGAAGTCGGCATGCTTCCTTCTCGTCGCGCGCGTAGACTCCTCCGACCAGCTCTGATACCACTGTTGTAAAGGACTCTCCTCTACTTTGCAGGAACTGGGAGTTGTTCTAAGCGGTAGAGCACTCTGCTAGCTTTCCAACGAGCCGTAGATCAGCTCGATCGCCTAAGTATCGAGCGAGATGTCGCCGTTTATGTGCTAGGTAGTGCTCCTAGATTGAAGGATAGGAGCTCCCAGGTTTTGCACTTCGAATTCACCTTGTACAAGATGATTTAAGTTTTCGATATGAAACATGCAATACAAAGCAAACAGATTTATATGAACTGCAAAACGTCGAATCGCACATGTAACCTCGAACCGCGGTACACTCGAATGTTCGAGTAACATCGAAGGGGTGAAATTCGACTCTCGAATTTCACCGAATCGAATTCTCCCTTAGTCTCGATTCTTCTTGTGTTGCCATGTGGCACCAATCGAGTGGGTCTTCCGAAGTCAACCCACACACTTCATGAAACCTGCAGCTCACTCAAGCGGTGAGCACCGAAACACATTCGGTGGGTTGGGGGCATATCAATTGCCCCACGACCGTTTGCTTCTAACTCACGCGACCTCCAACACCTCTCTCCCCTCCCATCACCCACCTCAGCGCCTGCGCGTTCGCCCCGAAATGCATGCATGTCGCCCCTCATTTCTCCCCTCCCAACTACCATTCCGCTATTTTCGCTCACTCTGCTCTCTTCGTGCGTTCTTGTTTCCGTCTCCCTATCCCTTTTTAATCTCTAACTTGCAGCCCTCCTGTTTTTTCCCGCATTCTGGTTTTCCTATGCTGTATTTGCCGCTCCAGCAAGTCCATGTCCAAGGCGTTTGTTGTGCGTGAATTGCGCATGCAACACTTGTTGAAATTGGCACACCGTGTGATTGGGATTTGCACGTCGCAAACTTGCGACTTATTTGCACATGCTTGCAACGAATTTTGTAGTTTTTTTTTTTGTGAAGTAGAACGTGTGTGAAAAACACAACAGAACAACACTTCGAATTTCAGAAGTATTACATAGTATGAGATTTCAAGTGGACCCACTAGAAGGGGGGGGTCACTATTTTAGCTGCTGGCTAAAATAATGTGACCTCTGACACATGTCGCTTGGATTTCTGGCTCACTCTCATGGCACGTGTGGCCTGGATCAGCACCTGACCCGAGCCTGGTTGGACCGACGACTTCTCTTATTGGCTGTAACATGGAGCAGAATTCCATTGACTCCTGCGGCTGCTTTTCATTGTCAGCAGCAGTCGGTCGTTACACTCTCGTCGTCGTCAGTAACGTGCGTACACATGGCTTCGTCAATCGTCGCGAACGAATGCTCGACGTTGAAGGTGGTCAACGGCGACGAATTTTTCAGATTCTCCAGGTGGTTTTCCAGAATGACCGACTTTACGGTGCCAGCTGTACGCAGAGGATTGAACGACTGTCAGCATGGAATGGTGTTGAATGCATGTATGAGCTGTAGGGAACCTGGCCTTTGACCTGAGATGTTTTCGCCTTGTCACGAGGATCTGGCGGTGCCTGCCTGACTACCTGGAAGCTCTGCTCCTATTTTTTTTTTAACTCCTCTCCGTCCCTCTGTATCCTTCCGCCGACAAACTGTCAGGGCCATGATGCCGACTTCGAAAATGTCACAGAAAGCGTGAAATGTGATGATTCGCCTGAAGATTGTGATTGATGAGCCAAATTTCACCGATCATCACCGCTGAAACACAAGCTAAACCGAAGCAAACAGCAATTCGCGGGAAAACTTTTACCACTACAACTCCCTTTTCCCCAACCCCACATAACTAATTTCACCGACGGATACGACGTAGAGGTAGCGACGTATCCAGAAATGCACGTACAGCCCAGCCTGAAACTCCCTAATTCACCAGCCCAGTATCAGGTGGTTCCTCATCGCCGTCCCTTTCTTTTGCTCTTTTACTCGGTGCCCACAGGTCGCGCGCGCGCTCTCGGGCTCACAAGAAGAGCAATCATCTTTCCATTCTACCAGCAGCGCCTGCCTTATTATTGTTACTAACTAGCAGTACAAGTTAGTGCGCTGCCTTATTGGATACGTAGTACGAGTCGCACAACGTAGCCACCCCTACTAGTAATGATTCCAGCTGCCGCCGCGGGTGCCACCATCGCCGCCACTGCCGCCGTCTCGTTGGCGAGAATAGCTCCGACAAAACTCCCACAGATTACTTCTCGCAGTGCGAGTAGCACTACTGGTAATAGTAGTCAAGAGTAGGCGCCCGTTGCCGCGTATGAGAGGCTGCGCGAAGCGAATCACCGGCATTGGTACCGCTAGTAGTAGTAGTAGTGTCGAGGATATGGACTACTATATAGGAATCAAAATTGGGCCAAGCAATCGGTGAGAATCTTTGTGTCTTGCAGCCGGAAGTGGCGCTTTTTTTACTGGATAACGAAGCAGGTCCTTAGCGCGTATATACCGCTGAAGGCCGCGCGTGCGAACTCCCACTAACTTCCTCACTCCGCCTCCGCCTCCGCCTCCGCCTCTGCCCCTGCCTTCGCCACTGGACCGCGAATTCCCTTCCCCTTCTCCACACACGCACACTCGCAGACCTGCAAACACACACACCGTTGACATCACCGCAACAACTCCTGCTCGCGCCGCATCATCGCCGCATCATCGCCAGCGCCAACAATAATATGGATTCAGGCCGCGACAAGTTGCCGCTGCCGTCGCAGCGATCACAGCGTCGGATCAATACGAACAGCGACTCGAACTCCCAGTCGACGGAATTCCGCGAATCTACTACAACCGGTGCCACTACTAATACGGCCACTACTATGTTTATCACTACCGGCGGCAATGTTGCCCCACAGAGTCCCCCCCTGGTCGTCCCCTCGGGCCCGGTTTCCCCCATCTCTCCGCTCCCCGTGCCCCCGCCCAGCATCATCATCCCTCCGCGCGAGCTCGCGCAGTCCGCCGCGTATGCCGGCGGAGCTCGCGGAGCGTTTGCGCAGAAGCGCGGCGGGGTAGAGCAGCCGTCGGGGCTTCCGCCGTCGCTTCCGCCGTCGCTCGTTCATTGGCCGTACGCGACGCACATGCCCGCCGTGTCCCCGGGTTTCACGCACCTCCCGAAAAGCCACTCCGACGGCAACAACGCGCCGCCCACTCTCCCGCTACACAGGGGCGGATGCGCCACGAGAACTGGGGGGAAATCGGCTCCCCATGGCAAGGGGAAGGGGGAAGGGGAATCTCTCCGGGGATGACTCCGGGCGTGGCGGAAAGCCCAGCGAGCGGCGGAAGCGCGGGGTGGCCGGCGGGCAGTCACGGGAAGGTGACACGTGTCCCATCGGGTGAAAATAGACCTATTCCGGTCTCCACAGTCCCGTGGCAGCAGCCGAAAATGTCCCCGCTCAGGCGCACTCGGAGTTCCCCCTGCGGGGAGGACGCCCCGGGGGGAGGGGTAACGATCTGGGAGCAGTGGCAGGCGCTGGGGGGATGGGGGCGGAAGGCGGAGGGGAATCAGGGGAGTGCGGGGAGTGGCGGTGGGGGGAATGCTGTTTGGGCTCCTCCGCCTCTTCCTGCTGCTGCTGTCGGCGCTACCCTTGCTGCTGGTGCTGCTGCTGGTTCTGTTGCTGCTGCTGGCGCTGGTGGTGCTGCTGCTAGTGGCGTTGGTGGGGCAGGCAAAGGAAAAAGTGGAAAGAAAAAGGGGAAGCACAGTGAGAGCATTGCGAGCAGGCCGGGCTCGCTGAGGGTGGAAGCAGCAATCAAGGTACGCTGGCTGGCCCGCTGTGCGTGCCACGTGCGTGCTGCATTGCACTCTCTCAGTTCTACACTCGTGATCTGCTCTTGATCTGCTCTGTGCGGCATTGTAACCCTCCTCCTTCCCTTGCATACATCTCATCGCATCTCATCTCAACAACCACATACTTTCCCATATGTCCTCTACTACCTCCACCGCCCCACCCGCTTTCCCCTCTTATCTCCCTCTTCTCATCCTCTCCAACCCCCCCCGCGAATTCCCCCATACCTTCCCTCGCAGCAATCCACGTGGACAGTCTCGCTCCTCACAGCGCCTTGCCACGTGTCCCCATGCCTGTGCATGGAAGCCTGCTTCTGCCCATGCGTCACTGCCGGCCGTATCGCCCACGCCCTCGATCCTACTTCCACCACCCCTGCTGCGGGCGCCCTGCTCTACTCCCTCCTCTCCTGCTTCCTCTCCTGCCATGTACGCTCTTCTTCCCCAACAGATTCTCTGCTTGCTTACTCCTGCTTACTCCTGCTTACTCCTTTGACTCAGGAGTAGCTGCTCTGCTTCCCTCCCTTCTCTCTTCCCCCCTCTCACACGCCTTTTTCTGCCTACTGCCTTCCCACCACATCCCACCACTTCCCTCGCACCATCCACCCCCTCATATTCTCTCGCGCCTCCCCGCTTTTCCCGACCCTGCCATTGTTCTCAAGCCTCCTGCTTTTCACGTGCCTACCACTTTTCTTGAGCCACCTTGAAGAAGCACGTATAAGGAGCCTGTAATTCCCCTGTCCCCCTCCCGTAGGTGTTCTCTGCGGTGCTGCGCGGCCGAGTGCGACAGCGGTACAGCCTGCCTGAAGCTCCGTTGGGGGGAGTGGAGGACTGCTGCACGCACTGCTGCTGCAACGCATGCGCGCTCATGCAGGAAATGCAGGCGATGCAGGTGCGAGGGAGGCGAGGGGACTGAGGACAAAGAGAGGGAGGGAGGGAGGGAGTACGGTTGATCCCCTGGATTTTAAAGCTTTGTTTTGGGTGGGGGAGGGATTGTGTGGTTTGCCTTTTGAATGTCAAGGGTTTGGGTATGAATGAGCTTGGTTGAGCACTGGGCATGCCGAAAAATGCTGTGGTGGCACAGTGTGATGCATCCGTTCCTCCATGCATCCAGCAGCAATGCATCTCTGCTTACCGTCGTCCTTTCTTCCAGCTTTCCCATCTCTTCCCCCCCTCCTCCCCTACTCTTGTGCACGCAATCTCTCTCACACACGCAGGTGCATGGAGACATACCTGCTGTGAAGGTCACACCAGCACCACACAGCGGCACTACACCCCTCATCCCACTTCCAATTTTCCTCTTCCTCTCTCCTCCCCCAATCTTGCTCTCAATCCCTCTCACACACGCAGGTCCACGGAGACATACCCGCTGTGAAGGTCACACCAGCACCACACAGCGGCACTACACCCCTCATCCCACTTCCAATTTTCCACTTCCTCTCTCCTCCCCCAATCTTGCTCTCAATCCCTCTCACACACGCAGGTCCACGGAGACATACCCGCTGTGAAGGTCACACCAGCACCACACAGCGGCACTACACCCCTCATCCCACTTCCAATTTTCCTCTTCCTCTCTCCTCCCCCAATCTTGCTCTCAATCCCGCTCTCACACACGCAGGTGCATGGAGACATACCCGCTGTGAAGGTCACACCAGCACCACACAGCGGCACGGATGGAGAGGGAGGGAACGGTGCAACCGCGAGAAAGCGTGGAAAGGTTGGGGCCGCTCTCAGGGCACCCACTGTTATCACCATGTGACGCCGCTTCGTAGACTCCAATCCCCGGGTTTTCGGGTCGTCTAAGAAAAACGTCGCTCTCAGGGCACCCACTGTCATCACCATGTGACGCCGCTCCACAGATTCTCCGATCCCCAGGCCCCGGTTCCCGGTCCCTGCCTTTGAGCCTCTATGGAAAAAGCTGCCACCAGTCCCCACTCTCGTACTCTTTTGCATGCACTCTACTCTCCTACGTATGGAAAATGCTCATCAGCAGCAGTAGCAGAAGCAACAGCAGCAGCAACTGCGAGTCATTGCAGCACCTGTTGCCTCCACCTGTCTGCTGCATGCTCGAGTCTCGACCAAACCTCAAGCTCCCTCTGAACACTATCCGAACCTAGAACCCTGTACCATCCCCTCTTCCTCTTCTAGAACCGCTTTTACTTCCCCGTGTTCTAAGCCCCAAGGCCCCATCAGCCTGAGTCTGCATCCCTTCAATGTCCTCTCCCTTTCCTCTTCCCACTCTCCTCTTCCCTCCCACTCACACGATCTCCCTCGCCCTCTTCCCGCCTTCCTCCAGAATCCTCTTACTGCCACCTCCTAAGCACTTCCTTCAATTCTTCCTCCCACTGCTGCTCTGTCTTCTTTTTTATCTCCGAGCACCTAGCACACAGTGTTCCCCTCTCTCAAACTAGAGCTTATGCCATCCCACTTCACCAGCTTCCCATACCCACAATCCAGCTGAGTGTCCTCCCCTCACACACTAATCCTATGCAGCAAACTTTGCACCCAGTCAAGGAGCTGCGGCATCACAATCTAATATTGCAACAGTTCCTCTCGATGCCGTGCAGTGGTTTTTGCGAGTGCTCTCCATTCTTGCTTCCCTCCTCCCATGACTAGCCTGTTGTATTTTCTGATTAACATATCCCATGTATTATTGTTGTAGTGCAATCTGTTATAATTTTGAACCAGTTTGGTAGAGACTGTACTGCCACTAAGATATTGCACAAATGGATAGGAAGTAAGGGCGGGTCCAACTCATCACACCTCAGCTCAATTTAACCCTTTTTGGTAGGGTAACCGCGTCAAATATTGAAATCAAACTGGATGACGCGATCGGTTTCCCAACGTGCAAGACGAGTCCCATGCCAGATCACATTTCTCACTCGTAAATTTTCCGAAATATTTGCAAACTGGGCAGCTTTGAACTACCGTCACTCGCTTCCTCACGTGCCAGTAACAGGGTGTACCTGCTTCGAGCGAGTATGTTCTTTTCGTCGATTGGAACGATTGGTTTTCAATACCCAAGCTACCCTCGCGACGATTTCTATTTTCGCGAAGCCAATGTGTTCTGTTCAATTCAGTTTGTGTGGGCGGGATGCTGGGTCCGCGTACACCCTCAAGGACGTGGAACGTATCTGGGTTCGGATTGACTGATCGTCACCCGAACAGTTGGGATTTCGATACAGGGGTGTGAAACCGGCAAGATGAAGTGAGTATGACCCGCCCTAATATAGCTTAATCGTTTGTTTTTATTTTCAGTATAACCAGATTGATACACTGGAACGTGAATGGCATCAGCTGCAGGTTAGAAAGGTGGAGTGCATTGCAGCTGGCTTTCACGTTTCGTATACAGACTCCAGTCCAGTTTGCCTTGTCATTTCTTTGCAACCTAGCTAGCGTCTTTTAGGGCGTGTCACCTCGGGGCTGGGAGGCCCAAATCCGAACATGCATAACGAATTTACTGTACGAACAGTGTCCGAACAAAAATTTGAGCACTCTGTTGAATGTGACAGCTCGTCACCAGAGGTGACACCCTCTCTTTTCGAACACGCAGCCTGTTCGAACATGCGACGTCGCCCATAGTAGGGCGACGTCGTTAAGCGTCGCAAGAAGTTCTTTCAGTCGCCTGCCATTCCAGTTTGACCCATTTTCGCCCATCCAGTCACAATGTCTCCCCGTACTCCTCTACTGGTGCTCACGATTTTATTTCCCAGCTACACTGCCCTTTACGATGCACTGCGACAGTTTCCGGTGAGAAGCGATTTTGCTAGCGACTATGCGGGGTGCTGTCCAATCAGAGGCGTCGTCCGTGCTGAGAGGGGGGCTCCTATCATTCTGTGTTCGAACAGCGCTGTTCGAACGTGCAACACATTTGGCAGCATGCCTGATGTGACAGCGCTGTTCGAATTGGCGAAACTTCTGGTTCGCGACGTCGTTAGGGGCTTACGAATCCTGGCGAAGCATGTAACATTTCGCCTGTTCGAACGAGAGGCCTGTTCGAACCTGGAGGTGACACGCCCTTACGCTCGACGGTCGCGACTATTGCTGTCCAGCGTCCACCCCATACGTCGCACCAGATTTCACCTTCGTCACCCGTAATTCTTCGTAGATTTCGCAAGCATGCCTCGCTATACGACGTCGCAAACCTTCACGGATGGCAACACGCAGATAGTCGCGCTTCCCGATATCGTAGAAACGAAGCGCGAGGATCCCAAGGGTGACGTGGAGGAGGAGCCGTACGAGGTGAAGCTACAGCGCATCTCCGAGTGCGTCCCGCTGCGCATCACCAGCACCAGCGGAAGCTCCGCGGGCAGCGGAAGCGGAGACTTTCACCAGGTGCGGAGGAATGGGAAAGCAGAAGGGGAAAGCGGAAGGGGGAAGAGGAAGGAGAAGCGGAAGAGAAACGAGAAGGGGAGTGAAGCGGAAGCAGACGGGGAAGGGCAAAAGTAGCGAGAATTCTGTAACATGAGGCAGACGGGTGGACTGGTCGCCTTACCCTGTCCGAGTTCTTAGGCGGTTATACGTGTCCTTTACCCGGTCAAAGAGTCTGATAATATTTTCGCAAGAGGTGAGTCGTCAGTGTCATACACACGACGACCAGCAGGATGGACTCCAACAAGATCGCTGCTGCGTTGCGGTTGCGGGTCTTCACAAGGAAAGAAGTGGGTGTTAGCCTGGGATCACTCGGAACGGACGAGCTGACAGCTGCTGCTGGTTCAAGCCTCAGCTGTCACGCTCGTGGTGGCCCTCAACCCGCGCATATCGTACAGAGTTAACCACGCATAGCTTGCATTTGTGACCTAGCCTGGGCCTTTGTTCGCCAGAGCTGCACCGCTTTTGCTTGTTTGCTTCAGATTGCCATCCATGTCAATCTTTGCCCCTCTCTGTGTGCTCCCCCCTTCGTTTGTCTGATTTCCACGTGGAATTGTGGATCCTGTCCCATGACATCTGCGTTCATCTTGAGGGCCAACTTAAGGGTCAGCTAGAGGTTTAGCCAGAGGGTCAGATCAAGGGTCAGCCTTAAAGTTAGTCCGAGGGTCAACCCAAGGTTCAGCCTGAGAGTTAGCCCAAGGGTCAACCCAAGGTTCAGCTTGGGGATTGGACTGAGGGTTAGTCGGGTTATGGTTCGCTATTCGAAGCCTTGCTTCTCCCCATCTCTTTGTGTGCGAGCTTGGGTATGCCTGGGCTGTGGTCATGCACTTGCTTCCGAACTGGAATGGCATGTCACACAACAATGCATGTGTGCTTGTGTGCGTGTGCGTGTGTGTGCATGTGTGCGTGTGTGCGTGTGTGCATGTCTGCATGTGTGCATGTGTGCATGTGTGCATGTGTGCGTGTGTGCGTGTGTGCGTGTGTGCGTGTGTGCGTGTGTGTGTGTGTGTGTGTGCATGTGTGCTTGCGTGCATGTGTGTGTGTGTGCACGTGTGCGTGTGTGCGTGTGTGCATGCGTGCGTGTGTGCGTGTGTGCGTGTGTGCAAGTGTGCATGTGTGCGTGCGTGTGTGCGTGCATGTGTTCATGTGTGCGTGTGTGCGTGCATGTGTTCATGTGTGCGTGTGTGCGTGTGTGCATGTGTGCGTATGTGCGTGTGTGCGTGTGTGCGTGTGTGCATGTGTGGGAATGTTCATGCGTTTACATGGGTAGTACCGAGCGATGCGGCGGCATGAGCAGGACCGGCTGATGCGGATGGAGGCGGATTATAACAAGCGCATGGAGGAGAAGCGCTTCCAACAACGCAGGTCAGTGAGTGTCCTCCTGCGCCCTGTGTGATATCGTAGCCATGCCGAAAGTCATGGCATGGTATGACGTGGTGCAGAGTCTACACTTTTGGTCCGTGATTTATTTTTGAGATCATAGGTTTGAATTGCAGATCGTGCTTCTCTTGCCTCTCTCTCCGAACTCCTTTCCCCCCCTCCTTCCCCCTCCCAACCTGGCCCTCCCTTTTCTTCCCCCCCAACCTCCGTCCCTTTCCTCCTGACTGTTGTCCAGAGAACAACGGCTGAAGGAAGCGGAGGAGCGAACAGCAAAGAAGCGAGCGAAACGGCAAAAGAAGAAAGAGAAGCGGAAGAAGCAGAAAACAGAGACACGGGATGGCAGCTTGCCGAGTGTGGCCGAGGGGCAGAGGGAGGGGCTTGTATCAAGTGATGAGGATGAGGAGGATGAGGCTGCTGCACCATCTGCCCAGGCAGCACTTGATTGAGAAGCAGCCCTGGACTGATCACAAAGACTTACTGTATGAAGCTGGCTGTAAATTTGCATGTGTACTTCACATTGTGATGTTTTATTCGAAGGTCGAAATCTCAAGCAGTTTCTGTAACTCTGCTCTGTTCTTGTAAGGATTTACAAATCCTTACTGAGGCACTCGTTAGCGAGGCCATCCCGAGGGTCACGCGACGAACCTGACCTTCCTATTTCGTCGCACCGAACCACTCCCGAATCGGCCTCCGCTCCAATCGCAATCATCACCGAGCCATCCCATCCCGAACCCCCCGCCTAGCTAGGTTTTCCCCTATTTAGGCCTCGCTACTTCATTGTTTCTTCATTCATTAATTCAGTAATTTCCATTCTCGTTATTCGTTTTACTGCGCACTCTGCAAGTTGATTCATAACAGTTCTGGTTTGGACTGGGTTCTACATTATCTCACATCCACGTACAAGGGAACCCTAAATATTTTCTTCAGTCCTGCACTTGAAACAGCTTGTGAAACCGAGGTAAACCTGCTCTGAAACCGAGGTAAACCTGCTTGTACGGTAATTCCTGCCTGCACACCCCTCCACAGAATCTCCACCTGGCAGCGCTGTCGACGCTTCGCAGCCAGTAACCGACGACAGTTAGAAACCACGTGGACCATTCAGGTGGATGAGGGGGTTGACAGAAATTGTACCAGACTAGGGAGGCATAGTTTCCACTCCAGGAATCGCTGCCAGGGTCAACGCATTTCAGGGCTAAATAGGAGTGCAAATTTGGAAGCAGCAGAGTAGGACAAATGTAGCAAAGTGTGGGTGGGAAACCGAACACCTTTACAGCTGAATGTGTATCCAGACATATACCTAATCTACATATTTTGCCAGCAGCTCCGAAGAAAGCAAAACAAAACCGGGCAAATGGTATCTGAGGCTGCCCAAACCTGGTTTCTGGATCTCAGGTTACCCTCGTGATTTTCCTTTAAACCTGCCTTTGGCCCAGGCTCTACCCACCACAGCACCTACACCTAGTCCGCGGTATTTTAACCGCCGCTATCTTAACCGCGCGAGGGTACTTCTCCTTGGTCAAACTTTTTTATATGAGTAGTTTCGAAATTTATTGAGAGTAGAATTTAGCATACCCTTTGTGAGGCGACGGCAGTCAAAACCTGGTCAATGCCGATCCGCCCTCTATTTCGGAGCACTAAGTGTGAGTTTCTTTAGAAGGAAATGATTCTGGCTGCGAAACAATAGCCTTGAAGTCTCTGGGTGCCCATCTCATTACCCGAAAATGAACAAAGGGTGTTTTAAGCAAAACAGTTCACGTGGTTAAAATACCGTTGAAGTACCCCACATCCCAATCTTGTTGACATCTCCCACTTCCCGGCGCCCATCAGACCCGCTTCCTAAGTACTTTTTCCCTTCTCGAACCATCCCAACCACACGGGATCGCGTGCCACCCATCTACTTCGCACACCAAACCAGCAGTAAGTAGGTGGAGCAGGATCCATTTCCAATTTTCCTTCAGTTCCAGATTCTAATCTAGAGCCTGGTTTTCTTGCTGCCTCCCCCAGCAGCTGGTCAACCACGGAAATTTGCCAGGCCGTTCAAGAGATAACTTTCATTCTCTTGTCGCTCCGGCTCTCGCCAGGCCTTCTGTGCTCGCAGCATCCGTTCTGTTCTCCGTGTGCCGCCTCTTAATCTCCAGTTTCGCACTTCACTTCCGTGAGACGAAGGTGCAATGGCGGACAAAACGATTGCCGTGATTCTGGTTGGAGGACCCACAACTGGTAAGCTCTACAGATCTACGGGGTGGAAAAGTTGGTGACTGATTGCATTGTATCAGTACCGGTTTTGAAAGGTTGAAAGAAGGCGACTTTTGCCTCGCACTATGCTGAGTAAGTGTCATTTCCATCAGAATCTCTGACACTTCGAGACGGAGGAATCCACGCGGCCAGTTTCCGATTATTGCTCTTCGTGCACAGCTGATGTATAGCTTTTCATTCTGACAGATCAGCATCCTCATGACTGCCAAATGGATCAGAACGACGGATCTACCAGCCGGTTGTTCGACAGCCGATTAGCAGCTTCACTCCCTTCTGAATAAAGTTGTTCTGGGATTGTGTACTCAACGCTATTTCCCTTCGTTGTTCTGCTTCGAAACTTGAGGATGAGTCGAAATAACGGTGTTGTGTTCAGCCATAGCATCAGAACTTCTCGACAAGATCTCCATCGTCGATTCCAAAACGCACACGACTTTCAAGGCACAATCATAAGCAATGGTAGTTCCGCGGGCAGAAAATCTGGACCGAATTTCCTGGTCTGATCCGCATAAATCTTCATCCTTGCTGTTTTCGCCTTTCAACTCCTAGGATTCAAGGGGGTGCCAGATCCTCTTCCGTTCGAAATTCAAGGCTTGGCCTTCAGTCGAGGTGTTTCGGGGGTCTCACTCCGTGCCAGTGATCACCTTGGTCCGAGATTTGAGATGCCTATAATCACCCGAAGCCAGCTCCATTGCTGTCTTCTCGCGCCTCTGCGACTTCCCTTGTCACCCTATGGCTTCTTTTCTTCTTTTCCCCGCCCCGTATCCTTCCTCATATCCTTCTCCGCACCCTTCCGCGTACTCTTCCGCGTGCCCTTCCGCGTTCCCGTCCAGGGACCCGTTTCCGACCGCTCACTCTGAATGTGCCCAAGCCGCTCTTCCCGCTGGCCGGCAAGCCCATGGTTCACCATCCCATCCACGCCTGCCAACAGGTAATTCATACTTCATTATCCAGATCCATGACGCATGATGCACAATCCATGATATATGATCCATGATCCACCCAAGACCATGAAGTATGCTTACGATCCGTGCTCCATGATCCATGATCCTGGATCCAGCACTGGTCAATCCATGCTCCACTTGTTTGCTCTCCATTCTCTTTCCAACAACACCTTTTTTTTTCTCCTATTGGAGAGTTAGTTTCCCACACCCCCCTTCCCCCGCTGTTCCTCAAACCTCCGCTTCTTTCACACCCCCCTTCTCCGCGCAAGCTACCGCCGTCCACCACCTTTCTCTCCTTGTCTTCTTCCTCCCCATTCCCCCCCCACCCACCCCTCCCTCTCCCATCCATACTCACCCGCCCCTCACGCCTGGCATGTGATCGTCGCTGCGTGCGTGTGTGCGGGCGGGCAGATCCCCAACCTGGTGAACGTGTTTGTGATCGGATTCTTCGAGGAGAAGGAGTTCACGCCCTTCATCTCCTCGCTCTCCGCCGAGCTGCGCGTGCCCATCAGGTGTGTGCGTGTAGTGTAGGTGCGCGGCGCGCATACTGGCCGTGAAAGCGAGGTCAGAGGCATGCGGTTTGTAAGGCAGGCCTGAAATTGATTCTGTGGCTGATGTAAAGCAAGGTTATTCCAGCATCCCCTCCCTCCACCTTCGTCTCTGTGAACGCGTTCCCGTCAGATATATCCCTCTCACTCTCACCTAAATCACCTCTCCTCCGGTCCCGTTCCTTCTCCTCTCCTCTCCTGCTTCCCATGATTCCTCTCTGCTGGAAAAAAATCACATCTTCACGATAAAAAAGGAGGCAAAATTGACTCGCGTGAGGACAAATTTGCGGGTCCATGGAAGTACTGTTTCCCTCCTCCCATCCACTCCTGTTCCTCTTGCCTACGTCCCCTCCCGCTCCCTCCCCCCTCCCTCACTTCCCCTCCTCACTTCCCCTCCTCTCTTCCGCTCCCTCGTGCCCTCTTCCTCTCCCCTCAAGGTATCTGCGCGAGGACAAGTCACACGGGTCCGCAGGAGGGCTGTACCACTTCCGCAACACCATCCTGCAGGACGAACCCGTCAGTGCTATTCCATGTCGTTCCATGCCATGCCATGCCATGCCGTGCCGTGTCGTGCCATGCCATGCTCTGCACCTGTGCTGTCTGATCCGATGTGCTCTTGCACGTATGGTGGGCTGGCGTGTGGTTGGGTGGGTAGTGTATGGTGGCAACGGGTCTTCTGCTGTGTTCTTTGAGAGTAGCATCATGTCATGTGCAGTGGAGCGAGTTGTGGTTGGGGATGGGGAGAGTCGTGTAGACTGGTTGGTTCCATCTCTGGTTGGATGTTCGGTGAAGTGAGCTAGCGAACGAACGAAGCAACAATCAAAGGGCACGCGCCAACACTGCTATGCGCAGAGTATGCTGTGCTACCATGTGCCGTACCACCAACGCAGCACTGAACGCGTGTGCTGCTTTGCTGTGCCACAGACTCGCCCTGATCGTCCCTGTCCTCATCCCACCCCCGTTCCAACTTCCCCCCCTGCCCCCCGTTGCTTCCCACTCTTGACTCACAGGATCACATCTTTGTGATTAACTGCGATGTTTGCTCTACTTTCCCCCTCGCTCCCATGCTCGGTATGCATGCATGCATACACCACCACAGCATCTTATCACGCTTGGGATTCTTAGTGTTAGTGTTTTCGGCGCAACCTTGATTCACAACATTTTCACCCACCATGCATGGGATGGGAAGCACCTGAGAGCATGTGCGGCACCAAACACTGCTGTGCACCCCATACGTATCTACCCTGTCCCCTGTCCCGCGCATACAGATTCGCACAAGAAGCACGGCGGTGTGGGCACTCTGCTCTGCCGCAAGGTATCACTGCTCACTGCTCACCTTTCCTGCTCTTGACCCACCCTCTCTGCCTCCTCGCCACTCTTCTGTGCCCCAAGGCTCGTTGCTTCACGCTCGTTGCTGATACTGTTCACCTGCGCGCTTTCCTTCTCGAAATTCGCTCCGCTTACCACCCACACAGCAACTGGCTCGTAAATGCAAATGAAACAGGTGCCTCTTCTGCTCGCCTGTGCACATCTCCTCGCATCCTGCCCTTGTCCCCTGGAATTCCATTCGCAGGTGGCGCCAGACACTGCAAGTGACTTTGGCGAGCTGGTGGCGGACCCAGAGACGAAGGAGATCCTGCATTATGCTGAGAAGCCCGAGACGTTTGTACGTGCATGGGCCATGGGGTGTGGGCCATGGGGTGTGGGCCATGGGGTGTGGGCCATGGGGTGTGGGCCATGGGGTGTGGGCCATGGGGTGTGGGCCATGGGGTGTGGGCCATGGGGCGTGGGCCATGGGGTGTGGGCCATGGGGTGTGGGTGGGGTGTGGGGTGTGGGCCATGGGGTGTGGGGTGTGGGGTATGGGGCGTGGGGTATGGGGTGTGGGGCGTGGGGTGTGGGGCGTGCGGCACGCGGCACGGGGCACGTTGCATGCAGCATGGCACTGTGCTTGGGATGTAGATAAAGACTCTGACACACGCGTGCACCACCATGGATTCTCCTTCTCAAACGAACGAGCTTACTCACATGCACACACATGCACGCACAGCACAGGCTTGCAAATGAATGCGCACATGCACAAACAAATCTCACAACCCCCATCCATCCTACACACGGAAGGAGTGCGTGCATGGCTGGGCCTCTTGTTTCTGGGCTTTCCCCTCTTGAGTTCCTGAGTTCCATGAGTCCAACCAACAGGCTTGCTTAACCTCGTTGTCGAACTCTTCCTGTCCACCCCTCGCCTGTTGCCTGCTCTTCCTTCTTGCTTGTATGTGTGCTTGACTGTGAATGTGTGTGTGTGTGTGTGCATGCATGTGTGTGACAGGTGAGTGATCGCATCAACTGTGGTGTGTACGTGTTCCGCCCGGCCATCATGGACATGATCAAAGCAGCCATCGCCGAGGGTGACGGAGGTACGCTGCACCTCTCATCATGGTTTAGGGTACGCTACACGCTACACAGACACAGACACACACACACACACACACACACACACACACACACACACACACACACACACACACACCCACACCCACACGCACACATGGGGCTGCCAAGGCCTTGCCCTCATCTGGCGGTGTCCCGTGTGGCAGGCTCATTAGTGGGTTAGGGTGTTCCGCCTTGCCAAGGACGTGTGACCAAACAGGCAGTAACTCAGACTCCAGCTTCCTCTTTCATCTCCCCGCAGCCCCCACCCATACCCCTTGTCCCCTTACGATACCCATGTGCGTACTTACGTGAATACACATGTGTATGTATACATGGATATGCCTGCACTTTTCCATCCCACCGCTTCTTCTCTCACCGGTCAAATCCAGCATCTATTCCCCCCTACGCACCCTCCTTGCGTTTTCCCCCTTCTCCTTTCCCCACCTTTCCCTTCCGTCCTGCCCCATTCCTTTTTCTACCCCTCTGCCCTTTGATCTTGTTGGTACGAACGCTGAGGCGAAGGTTGATCGTTGCACCCGTACATGCTATCAAAGCAGAGGACGCAGGGAACCAGCCTTAGCTTCCAATTCGACTCAAGACAGAGCAACAGCCTTATTTCCCGCGTTTCTCCTTCTGTTCCCTGCGTGCCAGTGGCCTCCCCTCCCCCCCCCCCTCCCCCCTCCCTTTTCTTTAATTCAATGTTTTAGGTTCGTTTGATTCTAACCCGCCCACCCTCCCTGGTGTGCAACCCACCCGTGTGACTGGAGAGAACTATGTGTGGCTGGACCAGCATATGTTCACAGAGCAGGCGGGCAAGAAGTGACTTTTGAGGCGCCTCAAATGTCCCCCTACTTCCGCCACACCTTCCTCCCCCCCCTCCGTCACCTCCCAATGGAACCCCCCCTGTGTGTGCCACTCCAGAGAACTACGTGCGGCTGGACCAGCATGTGTTTTCGAAGCAGGCGGGCAAGAAGCAGCTGTACGCGTTTGAGACAGATGACTTCTGGGAACAGATCAAGACGCCTGGGTGAGGAGTGGGGGGTGGGGACGGGGACGGGGACGGGACGGGGATGGGAAGGGTATGCTGGGGAGGGTGAGTGATTGGGGAGGAAGCAGGATTGGAGGTTAGATAGACGGAGAGGGAGGGAGTGTGACTTTTGAGTCGACTCAAAAGTCACCTCGCGGGGGGTGGGGACGGGGATGGGACGGGGATGGGAAGGGTATGCTGGGGAGGGTGAGTGATTGGGGAGGAAGCAGGATTGGAGGTTAGATAGACGGAGAGGGAGGGAGTGTTGTAGCGTCACCATAGCGACTGTTGTCGAACTACTGCTTCGCCTCTTGCTCTGCCCCCTTGGTTCTTCCCACCCACCAATCACGCTGCTTGCTGCTGCTACACTTACCAACCACTGCCAGTCCGACTTTCCATTTTCCCACTTGTCTCTCCCTTTCTCCCTTCCCGATTCCTCACCCTCTCTCCTACCCTTCTGTTATCGCATATCCCCCACCATTTCCCTCCCCACCACCCTCCCGAAACACCCCTTTCAAACACCCACCCTCATCCTCCATCCACCCACCCACCCAACATCCCCCCTCCCCCCCCTCCACGCACACCAGGCTGGCCCTGCGGTGCTCGCAGCTGTACCTGACGTACTACCGGCAGACGAGCCCCCAGCTGCTCGCGCCCTCCACGCCTGGCGGTCCCACCCTCATTGGCGACTGCTTCATCCACCCCTCCGCTAAAGTGCACCCCTCTGCCAAGGTGCGGCATGGGACAGGGTTGGGTTGCGATGGGGAAGAGGGGGGTGATCTTTGAATCGACTTTTACAGGAAGCCACAGCTGCTGGCGCAGTCCGCATCTGGCAGCCCCACCCTCACAGGCGACTGCTTCATCCACTGCTCTGCTAAAGCACGCCCCTCCGCTAAAGCACACCCCTATGCCATGTTGAATTGGGACTGAAATTGGGGGGTGGAGGGAGAGAGGTGGAAAAAGGGGCGAGAGAGAGGAGAGGGGAGGGAGAGAGGGGAATGGGTGGGTGCATGGGTGGTGGGACGCGGAAGAACAACGAGTGGGAGGGGGTGGGCGGAGAGGACATTATGAGGGAGGTGGAATCTTGAGGCTGGGTGTGAATGTTGTCATTTCACGGATTATAATCCTGTCTTTTCTTGTAAATGATGGATTGGGGAACGTGATGTGGAGCTGGATGGAATGCACTCTGGGCCAAGACAGCCCTCTGCTTCATCGCTCCATACCCTACTTCCTTCCACTTCACACGTCACCTCATATCACCCCAACACCCCACCCCACCCCACCTCACCCCACCTCACCGCACCTCACCTCTTCTGGCATGCCATCTCCGCCCTTCATCCCCCCCTTGCGCTTCAAATTCCCAGGTGGGGCCGAACGTGTCAATTGCAGCGAATGTGCGCATTGGCGCAGGCGTGCGCTTGAAAGACTGCATCATTCTGGACGAGGTCGAGGTCAAGGTCAGTCCCTCTCTCTTTTTCCTTTTAAGTCAAAGCCTGTAAACCTCTTCCACACCTTTAAGTCCACTAGACTCGCAGGTGTGCGTTTGAAAGACTGCATCATTCTGGACGAGGTTGAAGTCAAGGTCAGTCAGTCCCTCTTGCTCCTCTCTTCTCCCTCGTACCAGGGTCAGAGCCTCTAAACTTCTACCACTCTTTGAGTTAATTAGAAAAGCAAGCGTAGTGGGACAGTGGGCACCTTAAATTCACGCCTTCCCCTGTATCTGCCCTCATACCTTCACACGTACCCCCCCCCCCCCCCACCTGCCCCCGTACCTGCGCCCATATCTTCCTGGCAACCGTTTCAGGAGAACGCCATAGTGGTGTCCTCAGTGGTGGGGTGGAAGTCCGTGGTGGGGCAGTGGGCACGCGTGCAGGGAAGCGGAGACCTCAAGTCGCGACTTGGAGTCACCATTCTTGGTAACGTGGCAGACCCACATTTCTGCACTCCTGATATTCTGTTTGTTTGCTTGTTTGTTCCTTCTTTTCGTTTCCTTGTTATTTCTGGCTGGGTTGCTTGGGGTTTGTATTGGAGCCATTTGTTTGAGATAAATCAACTGCACCTGCTTACGTTCTTTGATCCCCCTTGCTGTTCTACTCGTGTTTTCTCCCCTCACCTTTGTGCCTGATCTGCCCTTGAATCACACAGGAGAGGATTTGGCGGTGGGCAAGGAGGCAGTGGTGGTGAACTGCATTGTGCTGCCACACAAGTTTTGAGACGTCCCAAATGTGTTTTCTCCCCTCACCTTTGTGCCTGATGTGCCCTTGAATCACGCAGGAGAGGACGTGGCAGTGGGCAAGGAGGCAGTGGTGGTGAACTGCATTGTGCTGCCACACAAGTCCCTCAACACAAGCGTGCAGGAGGAAATCATTCTGTAGTTAAGCCAAGCCAAGCCAAACCATGCCAAGCCAAGCCATGCAAAGCGGAGCCAATCCAAGACATTTGAAACATGCACTGAGCTGACTGCAGCTCTCTGCACCTGCTCATCTCTGTGATTCTGTGAACCAGAGGGTAGGGTGGGGTACCCTTTTCCAAATCCACCTCCCTCCCAGCCGCCTGCAAGCCATTTCGTGACAGAGCATCCTGAAGTCCGCATTCTTTCTTGCAATTCTGACATTCTCTGTTTCACACTGTACTAATACGTACTACTGAGGAAATGGGAAGGCCATGGATTTTAAATGGCTCGTGGGTAGTTGTGCGTAACCTGTTAGCATAGCATTGGCGCACGACATCTTTCTTGCAACGAAGTGCTCAATATTGAGCGCAATCTTGTGCGCCGAAAACAAAGACCTTCTGAAGCAGCTGAGCTGCCCTTGAGCAACGACACGTGCCGCAAATTGCCGCCGAAACAGCCCAAGCACACGCGGACCGTTCACTCTCGGTTTCGTTCCTGACAGGCACCGTTCAAATCCTCGCATTCCCCTTTTCGTCCATGCCACTTTTGGCAATCTTTTTTTCTCCTCAAGAAAACGTAACTTCCCTAATCCGCCGCGCCCCTTTTTCTCGGCCATCGTGCCGCCTTAACGAATCGTCAACGAGTAGTCAACGAGTAGTCGACGAGTCGTCAACGAGCCGTTAGCGCTCAATAGATGAGCTGCTAACGACGCGCAGTCGCACATAATTTTGTGGCGCCTGCCGAGCCTAGCCCGTTTGGAGAGCAGGGCGGAGATGGTCTCCCCCAGACCGCAGAGGGGGCTCGGCGCGCTTACATGGGTGCGCGCGAGGGCGCGGATGTTCCCGCAATGGTGCTCGGCGGAGCAGCGGTTAGCGCAGGGAGGGGGGAGGCGGCGGAAGTGGGTGTGGGTGTGTGCGGGGATGGCTGCTGCTGCTGTTCTCTTGTTGGCGATGCTTGTGAGTGAGATGAAACAAGTGCAATGGGCGGACTGTTTCCACTCCCCCCTGCCTTGTCCCTCCCAATCACTCTGCGTTCCTGCCCGTCACTCTATCCCTTTTCACTATTCCCTGTACCCTCTCCCTCTCCCCCTCCCTCTCCTGATCCCTCGCCCTCCCCCCTTTCCCCCCACACCTAAAAGTGTCTTCTTGCTTTGACCCTGCAGCCTCCTCAATCTCTCCTCCATCAATCCTCACCCCCCTGGATTCCCTTGTAAGAAACGGACTGTATTTCACAGAAACGTCTTTCAAATCTTGCCCATAACACAAAGTTGCCCTTCCTCCACCACCGTCCCAACCCCCTTCTCCCTCCGTCCATCAGACTCAACTCACGCCACCGAAACCTCCAGATCGTCCTTTCATCATCACCCCCTCCTCCTCTTCCTCCTCCTCCTACCCATCCTCCGCATCCCCCTCCCCTGTGCCGCCGCGCATAGCGGTGTGCCTGGTGGGTGGCGCCAGGGACTTTGAGCTCACAGGGCCCAGCATCGTCACCCGGCTACTAGCCGGCCTCGCTTCTTCCTCCTCATCCTCCTCTTCCTCCTCGTCCTCCTCTTCCTCCTCCTCCTCTGACCCCCCCACGCGCCCCTCCTCGCCCCTCCCGGTGCTCTTTCTCAACTCGCCTCTTGACGAGAACGCGCACAAGCTCTGGGCGCTCAAGTGGGCCGTGCGACCACGACAACGCACGACCGATCAACCCACACGCGACCCCTCCAGCAGCAGCGGCAGCAGCGACGGCTCCTCCTCCTCCGCAAGTGAGCTGCCACCACCACTCACCAGCGACATCCCACCCAGCATATTGCACAGCGATCCGGGCACATCGGGAGCTCCAGGGACTCTGGGGGCGTTGATGGGGACTGTTTTACTGGGTGCAGTGAACATCTTCGCACCCACGTGGCTCAACGAATCCGCTCTCCTGCACAACCGCTCCTCGTTTCTGTACGGCGGCACGTCCCCCCAGGGCGTGCAGGGCTTACTGCAGTACTTCCGGCTCGTGGAGACCTGCATTCCGCTCATCCGAGGGTACGAGCGGCGGCATGGGGTCACGTTTGACTGGATCGTGCGCACGAGAGTCGACACGTTCTGGTCCGCGCCGCTTCCTCCTCTCGCTCCTCTCTCTTCTCTATCTTCCCCCCCTCCCTCTTCTCCTCCTCCTCCTCCTCACTCTGCCGGTGTCCTGTCCCTGCTGCTGAATGCCGCGCTGCACCGAGGAGTGGGCGATGGTGCAGCAGGGGGCGGAGGCACGTACTGGGTGCCGCATGGGACGGACTTCTGGGGGGTGAACGACCGCTTTGGCGTGGGCACGTGGGGCAGTGCTGAGGCTGCTATGGCTCGCCTGAGCATGCTGGATCGACTCATGGCGCGTGGCTATGAGTGAGTGGGGAGGGGGGCCATGGGGTGGGTTGGGGTGAGTAGCGGGAGATGGTAAATGCGTGGCTTGGATGGGTTGAGCAGAGGCTGCTATGGCTCGGCTGAGCATGCTGGATGGAGTCATGGCGCGTGGCTATGAGTGCGTGGTGAGGGGGGCTGTGGGGTGGGTGGAAGGTGGGGGGAAGGTGGAGGATGGTGAGAAGGTTTCTGAGTGTGTGCTGGCATTAGTGTGTGAGTGGGAAATGTGTGTGATTGGGGGATGTGGAGACTAAAAAAAAGCTCATGTGTGAGTGTGTGGGGTGGCATGAGTGTGTACGTGAGTGGGTACCCTAAACCCTCATCCTAAACCCTCATCCTCCCAACCCCAGCATGGACCGATCTCAATTGAGAGAAAGGTTGAAGGGGGCAGGTACAGGGTGGGGGGGTGCGCGTGGGTTCTGAGACGTCTCAAAACCAATTGAGAGAAAGATTGAAGGGGCCAGCTACAGGTGGCTTTTGAGTCGACTCAGAAGTCAGCTCGGTGAGGGGGGTGCAGGAGGGTTTTGAGACATCTCAAAAGCAATTTACAGAAAGGTTCAAGGGGACAGCTACAGATAGTGGGGGTGCGCGTGGGGCGAGTGGGGCGAGTGGGGCGCGTGGGGCGCGTGGGGCGAGTGGGGCGTGCCCTTCTGCGCGCTCTTCTGTTCAACCCTAAACCATTTTCAATCCCACAGCCGCCTGCCCTTCCCCTCCTGCTCGTTTCTCCCCACCCTCTCCCTCGTCATTGTCCCCTCATGTACTCAACCCCTCATCTCTCCCGCCACCCCACCCACATCCAGCGATCTCAATCCGGAGAAGGGCACAGCTACAGGTAGCGGGGGTGCGCGTGGGGCGGGTGGACGTGCCTTTCTGTGTGCTCTCGCGCCGGCCCTACCCAGATGACGACGTCCTCGCTGCTGCGCTCTCCTCCTCTTCTGCTCCTCACCAACAGCTGCCATTCCTCTCCACTTCTTACCTTCCCCATCCTCTCCCTTCTTTCCCCCCCCCCCCCGCTCTTCCTCCCCACGCCCATCCGCCCCCTTCCACCCCCACCCATCCAGCGATCTCAATTCGGAAAAGGGTCTGAGGGCGCAGCTACAAGTAGCAGGGGTGCGCGTGGGGCGGGTGGACGTGCCTTTCTGTGTGCTCTCGCGCCGGCCCTACCCAGATGACGATGTTCTCGCGGCTGCGCTCTCCTCCTCCGCTCCGCTCAACGGCGCCAAGTGCTGGCCCTGCACTCCCGCCTACACCGGCCTCCGGGTAAGGCTCATGTTTACAGTTCAAGGTTCAAGGCTCGCTCGCTCTTAAGATTTTCTTTGGAGGCGCCTCACGAAGTTGCGACTCTCAAGTGCTGGCCCTGCACGCCCGCCTACCTACGCTGGACTCCGGGTGAGCTTGCTTCAGAGGCGGAAGCAAAGGTTGATTCTCTTGCCTCACAACACAAGTGCTGGGCCTCTGCCAATGAAGGCAATGAAGGCAGAGCCTCAGAGGCGGATCCTCCTGCCTTCATTGGCCTCCGGGTGAGGTGTAAAGCTTGAGGGTCAAGGTTCGATCCTCAGTATTCACCTTAAAGGCTAATTTAACAGTCTAGGCTCATGATTGTTTATAAGGCGCCTAGTTTTGAGGCACCTCAAAGGCTTATTAACAGTGAAGGTTCATGATTGTTTATAAGGCGCGTCAAAGTGCCCTGCATGTGTGCTGGCCCTGCACGCAAGCCCGCCTACACTGGCTTCCGGGTGAGGCTCGAGCTTTAAAGTGCGACGTTAAAGTTCAAGAGTCAAAATTGCGTGTTTAAAGCTCTGTTGTAGGGTTGCTTTGGAGTGGGCTTGGAGTGGTCTCACCATGTGTCTGTGTCTCTCAAGTGCTGGCTGCCCCTCTCGCCCACCCGCCGACACTAGCCTCCATGTGCGACACAGACACGCAGGTTTCAGTCAGTTGAGCGGTGCAGGTGCAGGTGCAGGTGCACTTTTGAGGCGCCTCAATAGTAGCCTCCATGTGCGACGCAGACACGCATGTTTCAGTCAGTTGAGCGATGCAGGTGCCGGTCCGTCCGCCCATACCCCCACGCACTCGTTGACGCGCCCATGCTGGATCGGTTATTGTCCCGTTCACTCGCTCGCCCATTCAAACCCCTCCCATCTTCCCCATCCCTCCCAAACCCCTGTTCCCCCCAGGCGCTACTCATGTACGCCCTCACTCCCCCCCGCCCCCCCACGCGCTGTCTTTCTCCCCCAATGATCAGTCACCTGGCATTATTCTCGGCGAGCAGCAAACCGATTCGGGCTTAAAGCAGAAGATGGACTGCTAAGAACCACCCTCACCCCCCCCTCCCCCCCCCCCCACCACGCGCTGGATCTGTCTTTCTCCCGCAACAATCATCCCCCCACCCACCCATTTCCGCCCAGGCGCTCCTCAAGTAAGTCCTAATCCCCCCCACGTGCTGAATCCGCTCGCCCTCGGCTCCCATTTCCTCAACCGTCCAATCCCCCCATTCCCTCATCCCTCCCCCCTTTTGATCCTTCCTCAGGCACTCCTCAAGTACGTCCTCATCCCCCCCACGCGCTGGATCCGCTCGCCCTCCCTTTCCTTGCTCACTCAACCATCTTCTTTTCCCCCCCACTCGCCCCACTCGCCCCCAACCCCCCACCAGGCGCTGCTCAAGTACGTCCTCATCCCCCCCACACGCTGGATCCGCTCGCCCTCTGCAGACTGGCTCAACCGCCCCGCCTCCCCCCGCGGGGCAGTGCAGCTGTGCGACCCCACCCACCCCTGGGAGCCCGCCTGGCCCGCCGCCTTTGACGCCGCTGCTGGCGCTGACCTTGCTGCTCTCAGGAGGGTGGTTGAGGATGCGGGCTTGGAGGAGTGCAAGCGACGGTTTGAAGAGGTGAGGGGCGGGGTGGGGAAGGGGAGGTGGAAGGGGAGGGAAGGGGAGGTGAGTATGAGTAGTGCTGCTGGTTCTCTTTGAGATTTGCTGGTATGAGTAGTAGTAGGACCGACAAGACAAGGGCTTGCTGCTCCTCACTCCCTGAGAAGTGCCACAACCGCCCCGCCTCCCCCTGCGGGGCAGTGCAGCTGTGCGACCCCACTCACCCATGGGAGCCTGCCTGGCCTGCTGCTTTTGATGCCGCTGCTGGCGCTGAGTTCGCTGCCCTGAAGAGGGTGGTTGGGGATGTGGGCTTGGAGGAGTGCGAGCGACGGTTCGAAGAGGTGAGAGGTAGGGGAGGGGGAGGTAGGTTTGTTTTAGTAATGATGCCGCTGCTGGCGCCGTTTGGCTGCTCTACGGAAAGTGGTTGAAGATGTGGGCTTGGAGATGTGTGAGCGGCGGTTTGAAGAGGTGAGTATGGTATGAGTGATGTCGCTGTTTTGGTTTTTTTGCGTAAAGCCCGACAGCAAGTCTGGTGCTCCCAAAAAACTATCTCAGGAGCTTTTGAGCTAGCTTACTGCTGACCGCCTTCCTCCTCCCCTCCCCTGCAACCACTCTCCGCTGTTCGAGCCTGCATCGCGCCAGCGCTCACCCTCACCCACACGTCATCTTCTAAAAGGTGATTCAAACAAGCCTCCCCCTTCCTTCCCCTACCAACCTCCGCAGTTCAATTCTTCGTCGGATGAGTGGTCAGCACAGCACCCCCTTATCACTGCCATCTTCTTACAGACATTTCAAGAAACCCTCCTTTCCTCTTCCCCCAAAACCTCGCCCACAGCTGCCACTGCTCTCTGCAGTTCAAGTCGGCATCAGATCAGACGAGTGGTCAGCCCCACCCACCGCTGCCACCTTCTTACAGACGATTCAAGAAACCTCCTCTCCTTCGTCCCCTCCCCCCCTCCGCTCTCCGCAGTTCAAGTCAGCAGCGGACGAGTGGTCAGCCCCACCCATGGCAGCCATCTGCCATCGCGCCCTGCTGGGCCCCATGGACCTCCTCGGCCCGCCCTCCGCCTCGTTCTACACCGCCACCTCCCCCCTCTCCGCCTCCAGCTCCCTTGCCTGCACCGACACTCTCAGCAGCAGCAGCAGTGGTGGTGGTGGTGGTGGTGGTGGTTCTGAGGAGGGGGTGGGAGGGGAGGGGACGTGGGAGGAGGAGGTGGTGAGGCGAGTACCGGGTGTGGCAGTGGTTCGTGGTGCTCTGGACGAGGTCAGCAGCAGCAGTGCGCACAGGCAGGGGAGGCCATTGGACGTGCTCAAGGTGAGTGAAACATTGAGCACGTGTGCTCAAGGTGCTCATTGAGCCACATTAAACCACTCAGTGTGAGAGTTGGGGTACCACAGTTTTGTACACACACAGCCGTGCACATGCGCATGCGTGTGTGTGTGGATGTGTTGACGTGCGTATCTGTGTCTGTGTGTCTTTCCCAACCGCACCACACTCATTTTCCATCTTCACGTCTCCTCTCACCTCCCCCTTCTCCCTTCCTCACTCACACCCCCCTGCCCCAGTTGAGCCTGGATGGATCCGACCTCCCCACCCTATCAGCCCTACTACGGCAACACTCCCTCCCACCAGCCTGCCAGCTGCTAGTCCCCTTCCCCACCGGCCAACCAGAGAGTGCCACGTGGCGCAGGGACATCGTGGCAGGGCTGGAGCAGGAGCAGGTGTATCTGGCAGCGTGCGTGCAGGAGTGGTGGAGTGCGGTGGAGAGGTGCACCTTCTTCTCTGTGCCTCACTGCTCCTCGCTGCTGCGGGGTGTCAATAAGCACATTCAAACTCAATCTAAGTGAATGCGAGTGTAACGTACTTTTACTGCCCATGCGTGTGACTCAGCTTAGGGAACACACTTCTGTTCTGCGACATCCTGATGAGAAATTTTTGAGCTTGCTTGTCTGTGGTACGGTACGGTAACTGCTGAGGAACAACCGGAAATCAGCTGCATTCAGTCAGCGACAGGCACTGTTGTCACCTGTCAGCACAAAACAAAGCACAACAGTGTGGAGGGCAACAGTGGAGAGCAACAGTGTAGAGCCGGCAGATAGAGTGGCTCTTGTGGTTTTGATTTTGCATCTTTCACAAAAGCTCGCACAGTGCGATTTCCCTGCTGCCCAACACATGTTTCCTTCACAAATGCTGATAGAGTGGCTTCGGTGTTGCCCTGTCTCACCACTATACACAGCTCCAACACCACCAGCTGAGGCAGCAGCACCTTCTCTCAGCCTAACGAGCAGCTCCCTGCGTTCACATCATACCTATGAAGTCCATTAGGGGCATGGAAAGAAGTGGGCTTGGTGTGGTAAGTTTTGGATCACCGTTTTCATCAAGCTATCTACTCCGATTTTTCTGTGGTTCCTGCTCAAACTGATACTTCCAATCGACGCCAAGCTTTTTCCTCTCTGAAGTGCAGTTATGACCTCTTAAAAGTGTCAAATTATATGCCTGTCATAATAAAATGTAGGCTTTAGTGGGGTAGCTAATGCAGGTTATAGATTTTGTTACTTGTACCCAACTTTCTCGATAGTGCAATCACCTTTCCCTTTACTCTCGACATGGTATTAAGAGCAACATAGGTCCCTAGGACCGTTTTAGGACCGTTTTAGGACTTTTTTTCAGGGCCCACCAACCGTTTTCCGCCAGTTACCAAGTTGCCCCGCCCCTTGCCTACACTACCCTGAGTCGCGCAGCCCTCGCGCTCGCCTCTGCTGGCCCTCGTACAGCCCGCTAGCAGCCCGCCTGCTGCCTCGCCAGCCCCGCGCGTAGCTCGCTAGCTGCCTCGTCAGGCCCGCGCGCCGCCCCGAAGCGCCCGCGCTGTCTTCTCCTGCCCCGCGCGCAGCTCCGCAGCCCTCGCGCTGCTTTCTACTGCCGCCGACGCGGCCTCGTCCTGCCGCTGTCGCGGCCCCGCCCTGCCGTCGACGCGGCCCCGCCAGGTCACTGTCGCGGCCCAGTCCTGCCGCTGACGCGGCCCCGACCTGCCGCTGTCGCGGCCCCTGGACGTCGCCCCCCCTTCCTGTCGCGACGCCCCCTGGGTGCCGTCCCTCCTTGTCGCGCCCCCCTCCCCCCCCCTGGACGCCGCCCCTGCCTGACTACCGCCGTCGCTCCTGCAGCAGCTGCCGCGGAGCCACGGTCGCGGCCCCGCCCTGCAGCAGCTGCCGCAGAGCCTTCTGCCGCCGTAGCGGCCCTGCCCAGCAACAGCTGCCGCGGAGCCTCCAGCAGCTGTCACGGCCCCGCCCTGCAGCAGCTGACGCGGCCCTGCTCTGCCGCAGCTGTCGCGGCCCAGCCGTCGCCGCCGTCGTGCGCCTACCTGGCTGCCGCTCACCGAGCGCCGGCCCTGCTCGCCCAGTGAGCGCCTGCCCTTCCCGCCACTGGTGAGCACCTGTGTTCGCGCGCTGCCGCGCCATCTCCCTGCCTGTCTGCCTGCCTGCCTGCCTGCTTGCCTGCCTGCCTGCCGGCCTGCCTGCCTGCCGGCCTGCCTACCTGCCGCGCCTGCCCTGCCCGCGGTGTTACTGCTGCTGCTGCTAAAACTGCTACTGCTGCTACTGGCGGTGGCCAGATGCAGCTCCAGCGACGTCCGCGCGAGTCTCTCACGCCCCAGCAGCTTCGTGAGTGGTACGCTAGTTGGGGTTGTGGCGGTAGCCGTCGTAGCTGTAGCCCTGGAGCTGGTCAGTCGAGAGCGTCTGGCAGTGGCCAGCTCCAGCTGCAGCGACGTCCGCGCGAGACACTTACGCCCCAGCAGCCTCATGAGCGGTAAGCTCAGAGTAGAGGGTCTTGGAGTACCGTTCGCTGCCCGTACGTCATTAGCACAGGTGATCGGGCTGGTCAGGCTTGCGGGACGCTTGGTCACACACAGTCCCGCTGCTTCGCCCGTCTGAGCGACACCTGGCGTACCGAGTTTGGCAACGAGGCTGAGCTCCCCACCTGGCTGGAGCTGCTTCGGCAGAGGGTAGATATCTTTGCTCTTGACTATGATGCTATTCTCACTACCATGTATGCATTGCCTACTAGTGATGACCGTGCCTGTTACCTGTGCGTACCGCCTGACCCAGGTGTAGAGCCTGCTGCTCTAGGTGCTGGTGAGGCTGCTGCTCTAGGTGCTAGTGCGTCTCCTGCTCTAGGTGCTGGTGAGGCTGCTGCTCTAGGTGCTAGTGCGTCTCCTGCTCTAGGTGCTGGTGAGGCTTCTGCTCCAGGTGCTGGTGAGTCTGCTCTTTCTGGTACTGCGCCTGCTGAGGCCTAGTACACCTTCACATTTGACTCAGGTGCTTCTCGCTCCTTCTTTCGCGACAGCACCACACTCACGCCGCTCAGTCGGCCGGTTGCAGTCTCCCTGGCAGACCCCTCTTGGGGTCCAGTCCTTGCGCACTCCTCTACGGTCCTGCCGTGTCCGGCGGTCCCGTCTGGCTCCCTGTTAGGTCTTCACCTCCCCTCGTTCTCTACGAACTTGGTGAGTGGTGCTGACCTCCAGGACCAGTGGGTTGACCAGTTCACTCCTGGAGGTCAGCGCGTGACCCACTGTACGTGCTCCCGGACGGGCCGGCACCTGGCCACGTTTACCCGTGCGCCTGGCTCGAGTTTGTACACACTGACTACTGTGTCCCCTCAGGTCGCTGCGTCTGTGTCTGCGTCAGGTCAGCTAGCGGCCCCCTGCTCGTGTCGCACTTTGTCGCACCAGACCCTCCTTTGGCACCACCGTCTTGGTCACCCCTCGGTGCAGCGCCTTCGTAGCATGCACCGCCGTGTCCTTGTCTCTGGTCTTCCCAGGGTTCTCCCTCCCCTCCCTCCCTCGCCTGCTCCTCCCTGTCTTCCCTGTGTCGAGGGGCGGCAGTGCGCCGCTCCTCACTCCTCCTCGTTTCCCCCGACGACTGCTCCCCTGCAGACCCTGCACATGGACGTGTGGGACCCAGCCCGCGTCAGTGGGCAGGACCGCGAGCGGTACTTCCTGGTGGTTGTCGACGACTACTCGCGTTACAGCACGGTCTTCCCCTTGCGCACCAAGGGTGAGGTCCCTGATGTCTTGATCCCTTGGATCCGCGCTGCCCGTCTCCAGCTCTGCAAGCGGTTCGGGACGGAGTTTCTCGTCCTGCGCCTGCACTCTGACAGAGGCGGGGAGTTTTCCTCCGACCTTCTGCAGAGCTTTTGTCGTGGGGAGGGCATTCGCCAGACGTTCACGCTTCCGGCCTCTCCGCAGAAGAATGGGGTTGCTGAGCCCCGCATTAGCTTTGTCATGGAGGTCGCTCGTACCTCCATGGTCCATGGGGCTGCCCCCCCATTTAATGTGGCCGTTTGCGGTCCGCTACGCTTCGCATCAGCTCAACGTCTGGCCCCGTGTCTCCTTGCCGGAGACCTCGCCCACACTGCGGTGGACGGGGGAGGTTGGTGATGCGTTGGTGTTCCGGGTCTGGGGTTCTCGTGCCTTTGTCCGCAATACGACCTTGGACAAGCTCTCCGCCCGCGCTGTTCCCTGTGTCTTCCTAGGCTTTGTCCCTGACGCGCCTGGTTGGCAGTTTTACCACCCCACCTCGCGCCGTGTCTTCCCCTCTCAGGACGTCACGTTCGACGAGACGGTTCCCTTTTACCGTCTCTTCCCCTACCACACTGCCCCTCTCCCCCCCCCGCCACTCTTCCTCGCTCCAGGTGCTACCCAGGTAGACCCCCTCCCCGCTCCCGGTCCTGCTCCTTCAGGTGTCTCAGGTAGACCCTCCTCCCTTGACTGCGCCGGTTGAGATCACTGGCGACTCAGGTCCTGCTGCGGGTGGTCCTGCTCGGGGTGCTGCTTCTGGGGGTGCGGAGCGTGGGGGTGCGAAGCCTAGGGGTGCGGAGCCTAAGGGTGCTGAGCCTGGGGGTGCGGAGCCTGGAGGTGCCGAGCTTGGGCGTGAGGAGTCTGGGGGTGCTGAGTCTGGGGGTACTGAGTCTGGGGGTGCTGCACCTGGGGGCACTGAGGCGTCTGGTGAGCAGTCTCCCTGGAGCGGCCGTCTCCGTAGTCGCTCCGCTGGTGCCTCGCTGCTGCACTTTCGTCGTCGTCTCCCTCTCTCCCCACAGCAGCTGCGTGAGTGGTACGTTAGCCGTCAGGGTCGCGCTGCTGGAGCTAGGGGCCCTGCTGCGGGAGGCGCTGGAGCTGGTGACTCTGCTACTCGAGTTGTTTCTACTGGAGTTCCTGGAGCAGCTGGTCCCGGAGGTGCTCGTACTGGAGGTACTTGAGCTGCTGGGACTGGGGGTGCTGCTGTCGACTTTGAGGTTGGAGGCCCTGGAGCTGGAGGTGCCGGCTCTGGGGGTGCTACTGCTGCGTGTGCTGGCGCTGGAGGTTCTGGAGCTGTTGGAGGTGCTGACGCTGGTGGCGCTGGAGCTGGAGGTTCTGGCGCTGCTGCTGGAGGCGATCACGGGTCCCTACTCCTCTCAGTGGCAGACAGCCATGGACGCAGAGATGGCATCCTAGAAGTCCACAGGCACTTACGTCGATGAGGTTTCCCCTCCTGGGGCGAACATCAACGATGGCATGTGGATTTTCAGGGTGAAGCGGCCGCCGGGTTCTCCGCCTGTCTACAAGGCTCGTTACGTTGCACGAGGCTTCAGTCAGCGATAGGGAGTTGACTTCTTCCAGACCTTCTCCCCCACCCCGAAGATGACCACTCTTCGGGTGCTGCTGCACGTTGCCGCTCAGCGTGACTACGAGCTTCATGTCAAAAGAGTAGATTAATCTTAGGCGCCATGGCTAGGTTTTTAGGAAGCGAGGGAGAAGTTTCACCAACAAAAGAGGGTTGTTCACTATAGAGCGAGCAGTACAAAGAAGCAAGAATGA